AATAGCATTAGCACTCTCTGACTGGTATCAAAAAATCCCGGGATTCTTTCTTTAAGCCCGAAATCTCTATCCGCGTGTAGGGACTGTTCTTTTAGAGTTTGTTACTTCCGTCGCGGACAAGAGTCTTGCCCTCCAACAGAAACAACCAAAATCGACAAGAACTCCGTCTCTGCACACGGTATACTAGAGTTACGGCGCTTAAGATTTGTGATAATTTGATAAATCAGTAGTACAACTTCTGTGCTTGTTTCGGTCGTAAACAGAAGCGAAAGAGGACACCAGTCCTCGCTTCTTGCTCTCAATGAGATCATCGTCCAGATTGTCCAGCTGACAGAGCGTAGTTGTTAAAAGTACGGTTCATTTTCATTTTCCCGATAAAGTTAGTCACAGATTTATAATCGTCTCATGCTCATCTGTGATGAATTGGCGTATCATTTTGTAGGGATAAAAAGCAGTTCCAGTTCTTCGCATAGTTTTGTTTTTCCTTCGCGTGGAGGAGGTGATGTCCAAGGTTTGCATGGCATGGATCTGCTTAGATAGATACTAGAGTCAAATGTAAAAAAAAGCGCGCTGCTCTCGTGGGCGATCAGCAAATCTGATAATTCATCGCTTCAACATCTACCGCGATAAGGTCAAATTGACCTCGATTTTTATTTCCAGTAAATCCATTATCGTTATTTAAAGCTCGCTATTATTGCTTTGAAAGTAAGCAGTTCCGTCTTCTTGTATCCACCTTCCCCCGAAAAATCGGCAAAGATCCGATTTTTCTTTTGGTATTGCTATCAAAGGTCATGAGCAAAACTCCCTACTGTCCGAGAAAGCTCGAATATTGTCAACAAATCTCCGTTGATCTTCCATCTCCGACAATCGATAGAACTTACAGTCCCGGTGGACCGCCAGTTGCAACAGCAGCGGCCCCCGCGGTTTTGTTTTTCAGCGCCGCAGGTGTGGCCGGCGGCGTCATGTCATGCTGCACCCCAGCACTGTAGTCCAATGCGGGCGGCGGAAACGTCGGTGGCAGCGCGGGGTAGACCGGACTGGCGGCTGCTGGATTAACATAGTGGCCTGCCGCACCTGCAGCACCTGCAGGTGTCGTGTACGCCGGGTGGTACGCTGCTGTTCCCACAGGACCGAACTGCGGATGATGCCCTCCCGCGGCCAACCCCGCCGGACCGTAGGGGTTATTTCCCATTGCGGTAATTCCTGCCATAGGGTTATAGCTGGCCGCCGCGGCCTGGGCCGCCGCCGCAGTATTCATCATCTGCTGTTGCTGCATGCCCGCCTGGTAGGCCGCCGCTGCTGCGGCAGCCAACGCCTGCTGCTGTACCTGCTGGTAGGCCGCGTTTTGGTGCTGGTGGTACTGCTGCTCCTGACGCTTGCTCCAGTTCTTGCCACTCCCGCCGTGTTTATTGCTGTTGCTCACACTGGAGGGGCTGGACTGGTGGTGGCTAGAAGTTGTAGAATTGTACATTTTATCAAGTGTAAAAATGTCTGAGTCTGGAACTTTGCTAGACTTGTCATGCAGGTTTTCCATGACCCATATAATCTGTAATGGAGGACCTAGCATGACAGATTCCGTGAGATCACTATCATGCCTATCCTGCATGAGAGAGTGCCTCTCAACTTGATCAAAAGTGGACAGCATTTGCAAATCATGCAACACAGATTTTTGCATGATTCAGATTTAGCATGACAAGTTCCAACCTTCCAGACCCAGACATCTTTGCAATCCATACATTTGTTGCTTCCGTTCCATCTGCCGCTGGTGCCACTGCTGCTCGTATATCAAAAGGAAAAATCCCCCCTCCCCATATCAAAGCGGAAATCTGTGATGCAGATTTGTTGTCACAAATCAGCTTTGTCATGCTACATGGGAAAAGATGCGGACTGTAGTGCTGGGTGCCGTGGTCAAGCCTT